GAAAAATTTCTTCCCCGAAAGGGTTGTCAGGCATGCGAACAGGCTGCCCAGGGAAGTGGTTGAGTCACCATCCCTGGAGGTATTTAAAAGGTGCTTAGGGACATGGTTTAGTGGTGGACTTGGCAGTGCTAGGTTAACGGTTGGACTTGATTGTCTTAAACGTCTTTTCCAATCTAAACGATTCTATGGTTCTATGATTCTCTGCATTTGTAGCTTTGTGGAATGTGCCCAGGACTTGCAAATAAGCATGAGAACTTAATGTAAAGTACTGTGGTTCTTTGTTTGATTGGGAAGGTCACTGGAAGTGATTAACATTTCTTTCCTTTTGCCTTCCAAAATCTTAGGATCTTCCTCTTCAGTACAGTGGGTGGCAGACTGGGTATTGTTCCTTCCCTGCCCGCAAGAGATAGTTCTTTCTGGGTTTTGGTTTTGATTTTTTTTTTCTGTTTTTGTTTCGTGATTCGTATTTGCAGAAGAAACTCTTGATGGTTCTGATTTCATAGCTTGAGAAGGGCAGCTGGAGGCTGGAGCACAGTTCTGGCTTGACCTTCAGAGAGCCTTTGTAAAATTTCTGGTGTTGTTTTTGGACTTGGTGATTCTAATGATGTCTTACTGGGGAAAACAGAAATTTTTTAAAAAGATAACTTAGTAGCTATTTTTTGTTTTAAAAATCCCAAACCAAACCAACAACCCCTTGGTGATTGAATCAACCTGTCACTGTGGTGGAATAACTGCATTACCAGGGTATGAAGATTTTCCAGATAAAAGATGTGCAGCTTTGGTAGGTTCTTCTGTGTAACACACAGAATCTTTTGCGTCTGTTATTGAGCTCTTTGTTGCAGAACTTCAGGGTGTAGTTTAGTCACTGCCGGATAAACAATACATCTGAGATTAATGCATCATGTTCTTCCATCTGTCTAAATAGCCCTCTCTAATATCAACTGTTATTTAAAACGCTTGAGGGGGCGGGGGTGGCCACAAATAAAGTTTTTGGAATAAACTTTAACTCTTGCAGACTTCATGAGCTTAAAAGATAAATGTAACTTCCCATGGTACTATATAATCTGGCTGTGTGAAAAAAAAAAAAGAATTAATTCAGACATGGAGAATTTACCATCTGAAGCTTTGTTCCCTCTTCAGGAGATGATTGAAGAACTTCAGAAGCGTTGTATCCATTTAGAGTACCCCTTGCTGGCAGAATATGATTTCAGAAATGATTCCGTGAATCCCGATATTAATATAGATCTGAAACCTACAGCTGTTCTCAGGCCCTATCAAGAGAAAAGCCTACGGAAGATGTTTGGAAATGGGCGAGCCAGGTCCGGTGTTATTGTCTTGCCGTGTGGTAAGTTTCTGGGTTGATATTTAGGGGTTTTGTTCTTTATTCGCCTGTAGTGAAGTAACTTCCAAATATGACAGCTGCTTAGATTTCAAACAGTTGTAGGGACTGTTCTGGGTACCAGTATGCAGAGTCGTGTTGGTTTTTAGCAAGTGGGTGGTGAGGCTGTGGTGGGGGAGAGCCCAGGAGATAGAGCTGTCAGGCATCTGGTTAACAGTGCTGTCATTGTCCCTGGAGTGACAGAAGAACTGGTTTGTGGTTGTGGTAGCTTCAAATTACCATTCGTGCTTTCACTGTTCCCTCTAAGTCAGCTCTGCGGATCTTCCAGTGAAATGTAAAGCTGTTGGCATGGGAATAATTTGTTCCTTGGTTGGGAATAGGGAGACTGGGGGGAACTGGGAATACAAATATGGCATAAGGGGGGTGCAAGGAAAAAAAGAACTTGTGTGCACAAGTTCTGGGCAGGGGAGCTTGAGAAGGAAGTGAGGAATGTGCAGATTGGAACAACCTACAGAAAGCAAGGAAAAGGGAGAGAATAGGAGACTGCGTGCCAGTGCCCTTGGTATTGGGGGTGGAGGAGGCACATGGGAGATATGGCGAGGGTCTGAGAGAGTGTGTAAGGGATGCTGGAAGAAGCGTGAAGGAGGAATGGAAAGATTTAAGCACTTGCTATGTGGGGGAACGAACATAGCTGTCAGGGGCAGTGGGATAGATCACTTCTGAGGGAAGCTTTCTGTAACCACCTGGAATATAACATGCTTTTGAAATTAAAAAAGTATTAAAATGATTGCTTGTAGTTGGCAAAGCCATAGTTTACAATGATTTTCTTGAGAAAATACAGTTACATGTCCAGTAGACAATCCAGCTGGTTTTTTAGAAGTGAATACTCATTTCTTTAAGGCTATTATAGTAAAGAAACAATGAAGAACTTGCCCTTACATGATTTCATATCCTCTCACAGTTTTCCTGTTTTCCTTTGCTCTTTTTTGTTTTTTTTTTTCCTCCTCCTACTCCAGTGATATTTGAGAGATGACTAATGAATATCACTCTTCTTCCCCTGCAGGTGCTGGCAAGTCCCTAGTTGGAGTGACAGCTGCGTGTACTGTCCGCAAGCGGTGTCTGGTCCTTGGTAATTCTGCAGTGTCTGTAGAGCAGTGGAAAGCCCAATTCAAGATGTGGTCCACCATCGATGACAGTCAGATATGTCGGTTCACTTCTGATGCCAAAGACAAGCCCATTGGCTGTTCTATTGCTATCAGCACATATTCCATGTTGGGACACACGACGAAAAGATCCTGGGAAGCAGAAAGAGTAATGGAGTGGCTTAAAAGTCAAGAGTGGGGCCTTATGATACTTGATGAAGTACATACTATTCCTGGTAAGGAAATGGTGTGCAAACCTTTCCTATTGTATGCACTGTTGATGTTACTCTGCTCTTTTAGAAGCGGTGTTTTTTTGCTGTCTTTCTCATGATTAATACAGTGAGTAAACCTGTGGCTTAGGGTTTTGAAACAAGTAAACTGCCTTGTTCTACTTCTTTTTTTCTTTTTTTTTTCCCTGATAATACAGAGTTTAGCTGACCATTAGTTTTCTGAAATCCTTCAAATTAGACATGATGTTTTCTGTAATAGCAGTGTAAAATACAGGTGCCTTCTCCTTCTGTGTAGGTTGATAAAATGGTCTTAAGATACCTTAATTACATTTGTATAATTTTGCTGTAGACAAATTTGAACAGGAGAGGAATTCATCTGCCTTCTTTTCTTTTGAGATATAGTGGCACTGTAGGCTAGCTTTTGATATCTATTTCTACAATAAAATATGAGTAACCATAGTGATTACTGTCCAGAAATAGCTGTTGTAATTGAAATTACTATGTAATTGAGATCTATATGGTTGGAAAGCAATAACGTAGTATTAAAGTGTCTGTGGAATAATCCTGGCTAAAAATACCACCCAGGATTCTGTTAGCTGCTCTACCTTCTTCTCATGATTTCATTTGAATATAATTTGGTGTCTGCAGAAATGATGGATTTCAGAAGTAGACCTTGATGATTAACTGCCATTTTATCTAAGTAGCATATTGCTGCCACCCTTCTTTCACTTTGTTCTTTCTTAGTTTCATAAAAATTAAGGTATAGAGTCTCCTCTGTATCTTCAGATTCTGCAATTACAGGATCTCTAGCAATACTAACGTTGAGTAATTCTGCCATGTACTAGAAGTCCCGAATGTGGCAGAGTCAGCCAAGAGTCCTTGTGTCATAGTTCTTTCTGTGAAATATTATATGACGTAAAACAGGCCGTATAACCTCCGAGTATATTAATTTTCTCTCGGGAAATGGGAAATAACACAGATGCCAGAAGGTTTACTGGGATTTTCAGAGTACACTGAAGATGTAAACTAAAGCTGCAATCAGTGTGAAGTTTTGCTGTAACACAGATTTGTTAGAAGTGTATGTGAAATGGGGTAAAATTTCCCAACACTGTGCTTGCTTTGTGTTCAGGAGTTGATGAAAGTGTTTTTTTAAGTTGCAGTGTTTGTCTTCTGAATCCATTCAGGAAAGTAAACAGAAAATTTGTCTTGCATTTCTTAGCAAAAATGTTCAGACGTGTGCTCACTATTGTACAAGCTCATTGTAAACTGGGGCTGACTGCTACCCTGGTCAGAGAAGATGATAAAATTGTTGACCTGAACTTCCTGATTGGACCAAAGCTCTATGAAGCCAACTGGATGGAGCTGCAGAACAGTGGCTACATTGCTAAAGTCCAGTGTGCTGAGGTGATGCTCTGCTTTTTGGTACTACTAGTGTTTATTTAGTATGCTTGTAACTTTTTTTTTAAGGAAGATGTATAAAATTTTAAGTATTTAACTGGGAAAAACAGGTGCCCTTATGACTTGCCTTAAGCTACTTTGTAGCTTAGGCAAGGCTGTCGCCAGTCAGTATGGACATGTGGCAAATTCAGTAGCCACATGTTCTTCAGCCACATGTTCTTCAGAGTGACTTCAGCACTCTTTCTCTTTGCAGGGTTTTTGGTGTTTGACCAGCTGTCTTCAAGTCAGCGTTTGGAAATGTGAACAGTGGTTGCAGTACTGTAGACCTAGTTCGATGCAGTTGACATTTGTGTTGTCTGACTTGACTTCGTATCTTAAGCTCAGTTCTCTGTGGTAGCGTAACATCATAACATCATGTTATGATGAGCGTAACATCAGGTGGTATGCTGGAAGCTGCTTTTTAGATACTTCAACTGGTGGACAGTCTGTAGTTGTTTGAGGAAAATTCTTGTAGCTCTTAAAGAAGGATAGTAGAAAGTTCGAAAAAAACATAAGAAAAGACCTCCTTATTTCAAGCCTGAATGCATGAGGGTGAAAATTGAAAACATAGGGCTGGATCTTACTGTTTCTTTCCCATATAATGGTGTGTGACCTCTGTTCTTTCGAGCATATGGATGAGAGAAAAATCTGGTATCAGAGAAGCGGAAACCTTTCACACAGGCACATTAGTACATTAAAGTAACCTTTCTGGGTCAGACTAAAGACTAATTAAATATATTGTCTCTGATAATTGTCAAGTAAGATACGTAGGGAAGAGTATAAAAACAGGGCAAACATATCTGTTACTTCTCCTGATACTTCTCCAAGCCCTCAATCATTTGAGCTTTACGTGGTTCCTGCATAACCATCAGTGGGTTTGTTTTTCATGAACTTCTCCAGACTCCCATTGAATGGAGGTAAATTTAGCAGCTACAACTTGCTATGGTGGAGTTTCGTAACTTAACTCTCTCTTGGGTTTTTCCTGGGGGTTTTTTGCTTACTTTTTTGTTTTTTGTTGTTGGTTGTTTTTTTTTTAAACCTGTCTTTCTAGTTTCATGCAATTCTTCCTAGCTCTGGTATTGGAATAAAAGATGCAGGTGAAGGTCAGCTGTTCTGCTTTTGAAGTATGTGCAAACTGGAGATTGTAGAAGTAAAAAACCCACAACTATTTTTAAGTAATAGAATGCAAATGAAGAGCATCTAGAAAATAACTAGGTTGAAGGGAGAGTGACTAGTCTGTAAATTCAAACTTGACTGTTTAGGCACTTTGGTTAATTCTGCCTTGGGAGCATAATTCTTCTCAGTTCCTGAACTGCCCTTTAGACATTGAGAAGTGAAGCATGGGCTACCTTTGTTCTGAATGATATGAAAATTCTGCAAGTTTATATTCTTTAGGCCAGTGTTTTGAAATAACATTCGATGGGACTAGCAAAAGCAAAGAATCAAAAAAAGTGATGTTGGGGGCTGGCAAATAACAAGTCTAATACATGCACAACTGCATTGCATATTTGTTTGGATTTTCTTGACATGTTTGGAGAAGTAGCATCTTTAATCAACTTGCCTTATTCCCCATAGCCAAGAAATATGTCTGGTTTGCTCTTTAAGTGCAGTTCTTTCCAGGTGGCAAGAGAGGGCAGCGCTGCTGTCTGATAAGGCAGGTCATGGTCATTGCAGGTACTACTCTTTCACTGCTCTGAAAGAGAACAAGCAGCACAGTTAAAAAAGTTAAAAGAAGTTTAAAAAAAGAGAACAAGCCTGTCCTTTAACTATATTTCAGAGCTTTGTAATTTACAAAAAATCCCTTTCCCAGCTGCCATACTAAGTTTTTGGCTTGGAGTACGCGTCTTGCAAAACGTAAAAATGGAAAGATCATGGGGGTGAGAAGTAGATTTTATCCATTTCCAAATCCAGAAGAGAGTGCAAATACAAATCAAAATATGTTCAGTTTGCCATGTAGTCAGAGGCATTGAGCAATAGATGAATTATTTTACTACAATCAAATGTTCAGTGTTCATACCTCATTCTTACTTTGAAATATTCTCTTCTGATTTAAGAATTTTAAATCTTTCATGTAGACAGCATACAATAACAATGGAGATTATTCAGCGCATAAATTTATTGTTAACATAGTCAAGGGATGAAAAAAGCCTCATCTAGCATTTAACTCACTGGAAAAAATGTTTTGAAACAAAACAGTAGTTCTTAACAGTACAGAACAATTCAGGTTGTTTAAATAAACTCCTGTAAATTCTCAATAACTTCCTTAGCTGAACACTGGTTATGAAAGAGGCTTTTCTTTGCAGTATTCTGTTAATTTTAACTGTGCAATGGATATGGGGGAATAATCCGTGTGCAGCAGAATGAATGTCTTCTAAATTATATGCACTGTAGGTAGTGTCATTATGTGCTATAGACGGTATCATTGCATTTTCATAAACTTTTAAATTCAGAATTTCTTCTATTTTCATGCTACAGTAGAAAGAATATCTCAGTAAGCCTAGCTTGTGCATGATATGTATTTACATAATAAAATAATTGCTTAGGGAAGCCTATTGAATACTTGTAATCGATCCTAGTGTTTTGAAAGTTGTAGACCCAATAGCTGTTAAAATAAAGTTCACTCCTTTGTGAACATATGAAAAAAAGATTGGTAAATTTGTTCTGTAATGAAGACTAAATGTGTCTCTGAGCTTTCAGAATATGGATGAAAACTAATTTTTATGGAAAAAGCTTTGACTGCTGTGACAGGGCAATTATTGCTCTGTAAAAAGTAGTAGCATTCAGTAAAATTATTAAGTGTGAAACATAAAGGAAATATCTTCCAGTCCTGTTCCAATCCTGCTGCCTATTTCTGTCGTGGATTTCACTGCCAAAGCATTTTGGAAGGCCAGAATATTAATGAGGTTAAACAGAGTTTGGCAGTGCTGGAGACTACACCAATCAGTATCTTTCATTTTAGTACAAAAATTACCGTGTTAAAATTAGTGGGCTGCGCTATACAGGAAGTTATAATGCGTTATCATTCCCCCAATATCTTTTCAATTCCCGTGGAAACAAAATAAATAAATAACGGAGGGTTACTTTGTGTGTGTGTTTTTTAATTCTAGGTTTGGTGCCCAATGTCACCTGAATTTTATAGAGAATACGTAGCTATCAAAACAAAGAAACGGATACTGCTGTACACCATGAACCCAAATAAATTCAGAGCCTGCCAGTTCCTGATTAAGTTTCACGAGCGACGAAATGACAAAATCATTGTATTTGCTGACAATGTGTTTGCACTGAAGGAGTATGCAATCAGACTTGGGAAGTAAGTGTTCACAACCAACAATGGCACTGTTGTTTTCCTCCTTCCTCGAAAATTGCCTTGTAATCTTGCAGCTTTCAGTAGTCTTTAGACATTTCTTGTAACTCTTTGATTTAACTCCAATCCTCCTGTATAAAAAGAGCTTGGGAGGGTATTTTTTTGGATGGATTTTATTGGCACTGCAACATTTTGGGTGTAGAACTGTTTGAAAAGAACCTCTGTTTAGCAGTTGCCTCACAGGAGTTTTCATTCAAGATTTCTGTGAAAGACTGTTAGTATTTCTCTGTTCATTTTTTTATTATTAAAAGACAGTGGAAAAATGAGAGGCTTTTAAAAAATATCACTAGAACTATTTCTTTAACGGACGGTAGCTTCTCCTGTCTCTCTGAGACAAAGGTTTTCAAATAAACACTCTCTGGATCTTTCAAGGTCTTTTGGGACCCAGGGCGTTCCTCTTCAGGTTCTCAGAAGGTCTTAACCTTGCCTAAAAAACCGAAGACAAACTTTTTGGTGATCTGTGCTGTACCAGTGCACTGCCTAGAACTACTGTGATTGTTTAATAAATGAAAGGATATTGCTCCCATGAGCTCCTCAGCTATCTTAAATGATTCTAAAGTGAGTGTAGTTACTTAAGGTGGTACAAATAGAGCTTAATGAGGGGTTAGCATCAGTGTGTTTGTAGGGTTTGGGGAGGGATGATCAGGGAGAGTGTTGCCAGGATCAGGCATAGAGCAATTATTGGGGAAAATAAGCATAAAGGCTGGCCTCATCCTTTCTTTGACAAGCCCAAATAACGCCTTGCTTGCTGGAAGCTGTGGGGCATTTTGACTGCGTATGATTTCATGTCTAGGAATTTCAGCAGTACTTCTAAGCAAAACCACAAACAAGCCTTACACTTTGCAAAATCCGTGATCAGTTTTGACTGTAGTTTAACAGCCATGTTGTGCTGGCTTGCTGTGACATCAAATAGTAAGCAGAGCTAATGGTGCTGGATGAATTCCAACACCCGTGGTCTCTTTCATCATTTTTTTTTAATCTGTCTGGACAGAGATTAGCTGTAATGATGCCTCTGGAATGTCTCTAGCAGTGTTCAGTGCACCACAGAGAAAGCCTTTAGCAAAGGCGATGCTGGGAGGGGGTGCTTGCTAAGTAGCACAACAGTTGTTAAGTGGAGTAGACGCTGTAGAAGCATGACAGGAAAACCAGCTGAAGAAATACTAGGTGCTTGCTTTTCATGTTCTTGAATGAATTCTCCGTTCCTCACATCACGTACGGAGCTCCAGGTTATATGGCCGTCGGTGCTAGAAAGAAAGGAGGCTTGCAGTGCTGGATAAAGGTGAGGGAGTCTTTATTTTAACCAGAGAATTTCTATCATAGTTTGCTTTGAGCATGCTGAAACAAAGGGAACTGTTTTTAGTTTGGGTAGGGCAGGAATTATACGTGTAAGGAGGAGAGAGCAGCCCAGCGGGTAGGGCAGTAGTGGCCGAGGCTGTCTGCCCGGCCTGTGCTGGCCCAGCAGGAGGGCAGTTCCCACTGCACTGCTCATGACCTGTTCAAGCTCATAGGGTGGGTGGGCTCCCGGATGGAGGGAGAGATGGCCATCGTCTGGCTGCCTCTGCCCGCTCCTCCCTTACACCCCCTTTCTCTTGGCACCGGCAGGGAAAGACCATGCACATGACAGGAATTACTTTGACTATAATTTTGGGAGCCACAGAATTCAAATTTGCTTAGCCAGCTTTTACTTTGTCATAAGTCTGTCTATCCAGTATCGTATGGCTCGTGTGCTGACTGTTTTTTACTGGTGTTATTAATGTGTTTAAATCGTTGTTTCTGAAGGACTATGCCTCTATGGTTTTGACAGTTATGTCAATTAATGGGATGCAAAGGCAGATCCCTCAAAAAGCTTTCTGCAGTGAGGAAAAAGGGGTCATTTAAAAAAAAAAAACAACAATCTAGCATTGGGTGTTCTAGGTTCAGGAGGGTACTCGGATATGTGTTAATGAATCATTGTCAAGTAGGATCTGGCGGGGGAGGTAAAATAGAGGATTGATAGCCAGGAGTTCCAGGTTATTCTGTTCTTAAAAATGTGTTTGAACCCTTTCCTAGTAGCTTTAAGAAACAGAAGGCTCGGAAATGCTTTAGTTTCAGTTTCAGTTTAAATCTTCCGTTTAAGTTTTGTTGGGGATTAAAATCATCACAATTTAAATATTAAATGAAATTTCAAATAAGGCTTAAAAATATTACTGAATGCTACTAACTGAATAATAATGGTATTGTTTCAGAGTTGACTCATTTGCCACTTCCTTTTTTTAGTTGTGTTTTTCTAAAAATCTGGTTAAATACACTAAATAGAAGAATTAGATTAGAGGTGACTAGGATTGTTTGGTAAAAGAAAAACGAGAATAAAGTTTGTAGTAAAGAAAGCAAGAGAAACCAACGCACAGTAATTAGTTGATAAGAATAGAAGACCTTAGTACTGTGCACTGCATGTTTATGTTCAGCTACCACCAAAGTATGTCCAATATTAAAAGTTAAACGAAACATGTGGGGTTGGTTCCTTGTGTTAGAAATCATGGAGGTGTGAACAAAATAGAAATTGTAGAACTTGATTCTTGTTATTTGGAGATGCTTGTTAACGAGCATTTGGAAAAGTAGTACAACAGATGAAAAAGCAGTGTCTACGCACTCCTGCACGCCTCTCATTTTTCATGTGGGCTTCACCGTTTCTAGCTTTTTTTTTTTTTTTAAACTCTGCTTAAGCAGGAAGAAAACAGCCAGACTAGGGAGAATCTTGGAAAATTCATAGTAGCCCAAGTTACTCATGAAGTCTGTGGGTGACTGAGGGTTTGTGTGAGCCTTCTGGATTGAGATATTAACTGTTCCAGGTGATTCATCGTCAAATGTTAGAAACCTTAGGTGAAATGCCACTGTGAGCTGCTCATGGCCATGGAACATTTGGGACCTGGTTCTCATTTCAGTAGGTCCAGAAGGTATTAGGAGGGGCAGGAGGTTAGCTTCAAAGCAAAAATAATTTTCCCAGAACAACATCCAACAGCCAGCTTGTGACACTCAGCATATCATTGATAGAGAAGCCTGGATTTTCAAGTGTTTAAATAGGAAGCAAAGGTTGCAGCTGTCAATGTGCTAATTCAGTAGATTTGTGGAAAAAACCCTCTTATTTTAACAGCTGCCTTCAGTCTTTCATGTAGGCTTAGCAAATGTATTCAGTCTCTTGATATACAGCTTCATTGGTGCACGTAATTGCAAAACATTTATAACTGTCAGAATTTATTTCTGGCAGACTGGATTGCTGCAAAGGGTTCCACAGACAACTGGGTAGCTGCCATAAAGAGCCAAACAAGCTAAAAGTAAACTGTAAGCTGTACCAAAATCTCTTTTGTTTTTATATCAGTTCCAATGTGTACTGCACTCCTTGCCATGGTATCTTAGTACCTCATAAGAAATGATTGAGAAATCTTAAATTGATTTAATTTGCATATGTTCTGTTCTTTTCAGACCCTATATATATGGTCCTACTGCACAAGGAGAAAGAATGCAAATTCTACAAAACTTCAAGCACAATCCAAAAATCAACACTATTTTCATTTCCAAGGTAAGTGAGGACATTCAGTGTGTCCTTGTACCTATCTTCAGGGTGAACTTTATTTAAGAGTAGATTATACATGCATGCTGTGCATTTGACATCTTTGTGTTGCAGCTCACAAAGGCGTACTTTGTATTAAGACTTTGTTTATGAAATATGGAAATAAGATACTGCTCAGAGGCTGCTTCTCTGTTATAGGTAGGTGACACATCCTTCGATCTGCCAGAAGCCAATGTTCTGATTCAGATTTCGTCCCATGGTGGGTCTCGAAGACAGGAGGCTCAAAGACTGGGACGAGTGCTGAGAGCCAAAAAAGGTAAATGAGGTGGTTATTGGGCTCTGGGCCTTGGATCATAGTATCATAGAATTGCAGAGAAACTGGATGTTCATGATACTTCTTTATATTGTCCTTGGATTATGTTTTAGTCAAAGACAATATATGCCTATGTATCAGTGAATGAAAATGAAGCATTTTCTGGATCAGTAAAGGTTTGTGTCGGGAAAACTTCCAAAGGACAAAAAAAGCTTAAGAAAAATGAACTTTTTGTTCTTTGGTGGTTCTTTCACTTTTTCATTCCTTGATAATTTCCTCAACATGAAATCGTTTTTAAAAAATCACACTACTCCTCCAAAAAGCAAGTCTCTAGAAAGCACATTTTTTATACTACAGATTACTTTCGTTTAAAAATGGGATTTGGTTTCCAACTAGTTGTGTTTTTGCAAAACATAACCAAGGAGCTTTTTGTTTAGAAAAATTATTCTTAAAACACTTTCTGTTTGCACTTAAGATCTGAATACACTATTTTATATGCAGTTTGTGCTTGTTACAGCTGAGGCTTTGTTTGAAAATGCATACAAAACCCATGTTAGTGAATTAACAAATCTTAATGAAACCTTGGGTTTTAAAAGAACCCAATGCTGTTTGGGTAATAGATCTTAAGGACTGTAAGTTTAAAAAAAATACATTATACGCAGCCTGGTGTATTCTGGACATCAAATAGCCCTATGAATTCTTAGCTAAATATCTTTGTCTTGCCTTTTGTAATGAAAAAAACACTGCAAACACCAGTTTACATTGATAAAACTTTTCCTTTGTCTTTTTCTATTGAACTTTTTTGATGTGTGTTGCAATCCTTGCTCTTGACTTTTTACTTCTTCTTTGCATAATGGACTTAAAAATAATTTTATCTTTCACCTTGCCTAGCATAATAAAGAAGCAGGTTCTTGTTAGAGCACCTTAGAGTGTAATTGTGTTAATCTACATTTCCTTTTCCGTTTTTTCCTTTTCACCCATTCTCAAGTTACTAAGAACAAGAGTAGGAATTTCCATGTCTTGTGCTTTGTCAGTCAGTTTATGTAAGGTCTGGGTGCAGCTAAACTTTGAAGATTGTTTTTGTGGAGAGACAACGTATTTAAACACCTGTTTTCAGTATTCAGTCCTTTTTTGTTCTTGGTTGCAGTGTTCCAAATGGAACTAATCACTCGGTGTCTTTGTCTCCTAGGCATGGTTGCAGAGGAATACAATGCCTTTTTTTATTCTCTTGTATCCCAGGACACTCAGGAAATGGCATATTCAACAAAGCGACAACGTTTTCTTGTAGATCAAGGTTATAGCTTCAAGGTAACTTGTCCCTTCTATTTGGTATACTTGTGGCCTAAGAATATAACTTCCATGTTCTTTCATGTTAGTATTAGGTCAAATACTTGAGAATTCCAGTTATGGAATGTATTAATGAAGGTTTTGCTCACAAGCAAGAACTGTTCCAGTATTGTTTGATCATCTGTATTATTGTAAGGGTAGATACAAGTAGCTTAGTACAGCTTCTAGAAAGATAAGTATTCTAACTTCAGATGAAGCACCAGTACTTGCTGGGGAGTGAAGCAGAACATTACTTGCATGGTTGGTTTATATACATGGTCTTCAATTGTCCATCCATGCAGGCTTCCTATTATACATTATCATAGTGGTTGTGCATAAAGCATTGTTGATATGTGTTCCTGTAGTCGTGGCCAGCAGCAATTCAGAAAACTTCAAAACATCACAAGTCATAAATAATTTCCAAATAACTGCAGTCTCAGACCAGTATTTCACTACGGGGGGAAAATCTAATCTTTTTCCTTGTGGCTAAAGACAACATACAATGGGCAGGATTCATTCGTCCTACATTCATATATCTGACCCTGGGAATCATAAAGTTAGGTGTCTAAAGTGTCTAGCAACCCATTCCAAAAGAAATACCTTGCAGGGATCTTTGTCCATGCACTAATCTTGTGCACCATTTCCACAATGCTGTCCAAAGCCTGCAGTGGTACAGAAAATCAGTGAGGATGCAGACATGTTGATTCAGTGGCTCTGTGTTAGCAGAAACTGTTCTGGCTAATGGAGGTCTTCAGACTGTGCTTATTTAGCCTCCACCATCAGCTTGACCACCTTCTTGTAATTTTCTCTGCGTGGAATGAAGTATATCACCAAAATCACTGGGTGGATTGTTAATTGATTAAGAAATCACAGAATTTACTGCAGGAAAAGACTGTTACTTGCAGAGTAGAAATCTTCCTACCTACAACTAAAACGTACTCCTCAAAATAGAGAACATTGTCAGTGTTGACAATGTAACAGAGCCGTAACTTGAAAGTCGGAAGTTTTCTTTTTGTAAAGAACTTAGTGCTCTCTCATTTCTCCAGACATACTTGAAAATTGATCATCCCTTGTACTTCAGTTTATTATGTATCTCTATATGTCGTCGTCTTCCAAGCATAAAATCTCATTCCACCAAAGCTCCTCTATTTTATAGATTTCACGGTGTACCTTATTTATTTTTCTTTTAATCCATGGCCTGCCCCGTATGTTTGTCTATTGGGTTGTTGAAGGCAACAGAGTGTCATGATAGCTCTTGCTTTTATGTAAATTATTCCTTCACAAAGCTGGAATGTACTGCTCTGATTAGAAGTCTTCCCAATAAGAAACATTGCTGAGAAGAAGAATAAAAGATAAGGCTCCCATATGTGCTTTTAGGGAACAATCTCAAGCTTATGGCATTGACAGAATCATGCAAGGATTGCATGAGGTAAAAGGGCAAGCAGCCTCCACTGGGTTGCACTTGAGCCTAGCTATTTAAGAGCTTTATGAGGCATACATGCAGTATGGGACATCCCTATGGGGTCTGAACTGCAGCTATGCTGAAGTAAATAATTGCTTTGTAATCACTGGCCTATTAAAGTGAGCTTTAGGGGGATCCCATAACAGTAACAGACATGACACAGTCTTTATAGCTAAAAGCCTTGTTTTGCTTTGTAGTGAATGTATTTTGACAAAATTGTAGATCAGTACTAAGCTGCAACTAATTACAGCAAATGCATCTATGTGGCTATAGCCAAGAAGATTAGAGAAATCCCTTTACTTATATTTGAATGTCTTCGATTTTAGAACTAAGAAAGAGGTTAATATAGAGGGATTTTATTTTGCAAGGAAGACCTAGTCCTAGGAGCTTTGGTGTAATATGGGGAAAAAAAGCAGCGCAAGTGGCAGCTGAGTATCTGGAGCAACATTTTAGCTGACCAGTAGTGGAATGTTCTTTATTTGCAATTTAGGAACAAAATGTTGGAATATCTATTTTCTTCTGTTTGCCAAACTTTAAGCCTTAGTCATAGCTGGTATCAAAGAAGAATAGGGCTGGAAGAAACTTCCAAGAAACCATCTATTGTGTTTCTTCATTCCAAGCCAGCATCAACTATGTATATGTCATTCCCGGCAGATGTTTGCCTTCTTATTCTGCCAAATATGGAGACTCTACCTCATCTTTAGGTAATTACTTCAGTGCTGATGTCCTCTCCTTCAGGATTTTTGTTCCTAATGCCTAAATTACTAAAAATTCATTACTCCTTTAAAAGGGTAACAGTTTTCACTTTTTTCCTGGGACTTAGTTTCTTCTCACCATCTCTCAGTGGCTCCATTCTCTGCCTTTCATCAAGAAGAGGACTGGAATAATATTTTTTTGCTTTTGTCTTTGCTTCTTAAGTAGGAGCCTTGTCATCACAATTTACTGCTTGGAGTCTAATTATCTAGTGGGGTTTTTTTGTTAGCTAACCATAGTTTAGTTATTTACTGTATTGTGTTTTTATTTAGAGGCTGAATGTAGGATATATTAAATTTTATACCAATAGCAGAACTCCTCACTGTATCAAAGAATTGGGAATAACTTTAAACTTGGCATCTGTTGAACAGCTTAAAAAAACGATGATGCAGTGGGAATTCTTTCCGTTCTATGAATCACGTTAGCACTGTTTTGCAACCACAATTGGAAACAGGCTAATGCAATTTAAAATTGCTTTTTGTGACTCCATTTTCTTTATTTTTGAGATCACCATGGCACATGTGCTTCTAAATAAACAAGGGGGACCGTAGTGTTCCTTTAGCCGTATAGTAGGACAGGTTGCTTCCCTGAATGGATTCTTAAAGCTAGGACATTTCTCAGAAAGACATCCATTTTTGAATTAGAAATCGCCATTGACAACAGCCCAGAACGCTGATTATTCATTCTAGTGTTTCACTACCCTGTTTTTCAAAAACAGCACTTTGTGTCTAATGTGGATTTGTTTTGCCTTAAGCTGTATTTATATCGTTTTATCAGTCTTTTCGAACAGATCCAGCCCAGATTACTGAGATAATTAGTTTCTAATTGTATTGACTCAAGAGATAAGCTGGAAAAGGAAGATGAGGAGGGGAAACACTACATAATCAAGGGAAATGGCTGAATTAGAACGTCTTTCTCAAAAACTCTTCAAGTTGGAAACATAGGAAAACTGAGATTCTCGTGTATAAACATGTGTTTACCAGAATGCATTTAACTGCAGGAAAAATTCTCGTGAGATTTTCAAAATACGTCTAATTAAGAAAGCAAGCTGCCTATGGTAAAGCTGTATAACAGAAGCTTGAGAGCTTTTCAGTTCTGCAGGAGGTTTTTCAGCTAACGGAGTATATGGCACTATATTGCCGGTAGATGGCATGTGCTCTGCATCTTCAGTTATCAAATGAGTTACTAAGAATTTCAAAGAGAACAAAAATAACAGCTAAGTTATCTTGTGTCTAAGTACACAAACATTGAAAGAGTCCTTTTGCACTGCTGTTGATGCTTTGTTGCAGGTTGCTGCATTGTCTCTCAACAACTGATCATAAATCTCAATTTGTTAGGGTTTTTTTTCCCGTATTCCTCAATGTTTATTGCTAAAATTCTCAGTGTCTGGAAAGCTAGTGGATTATTTTTGTTAAATATAAAGTACTAGCTCTTAAACTAGACAAATCTAGAGCCCACAGCATCAAGCTAACCTTGCAGTAAGTTGAATATGCATCTGAGCTATATGTGTTTTGGTCAGGTTCTTGGTCAAGCTGGTATGGACAGTGTTTGGCTGACATTCTCTGTCGAGAGCTTTTCTTTTCTCTTTTTTTTTCCCTGAAGGTTTGTATTTTGCATTTCCAGCTAGAATATAACAAGGGATTTGTGTGTATATATATGACACCACTTAGCAAGATTTTTTATGTATCTGTGCTATCTGTAGTGTTAAGCTGTTCAGACCATTAATAAAAGTTGAAGGCAGTTCCAACAGGATATGGAATCAGCAATCCTTGTCTTGGTTTTTAATAGCTGACACTGGGGAGGAAGAGCCTTCACCTTGTACTGTGCTGTGTTTCTTAGGTAATAACAAAGCTTGCAGGCATGGAAGAAGAAGAACTTTCATTTTCATCCAAAGAAGAACAGCAGCAGCTTCTGCAGAAAGTTCTGCAAGCATCTGACCTGGATGCTGAGGAGGAAGTAGTTGCTGGAGAATATGGTTCAAAGTCAGCTCAGGTAATGAAGAATGCTTTGAAAAGGATGACCACAGATGTGACAGAACTGGACTATTGCATTTTAATTCTAAATGCGATTCCATCATTGATGCCCTAGTATCTTTGTGAAATATTGGAGAACAGATTTGGTTTTTTAAGCTGCATTACCACTTAGCTGTTTGAGTAATTCACTTGTTGGGCACTAGAAACAAGTTAGACACGGAATTCATGTCCTTCTCCATTATATTTGAGGGAGATGATGACAGATCTATTGTTACAGATTTTGGAGTAAATCTTCTAAGTCACAAGCAATGAAAATATTTTAAAACATTTTTAAGATACACATATGTCAGAGCACATACTCTTTTGTGGTGGCACTGTGCTCCTTGAATCATGCCCTGATTTCCTCATGCCCAGAGGGCAGAAGCATAAGGGCCATTTTGTTCATTTTCAAGAGAAGTACTATTATTGTAAGTAGTAGTTTGACATTTTCAGCAACAGATACAAGAAAAATAAATAGCCTGAAACATTTATTGATACATAAAATCAAGCTACAATGTGGTAATTAATTTTTTAGGGTTAGTGTTTAGGTAAATGGCATTGTGCTGAAATGCATTAGGAATTCCCACTCTAAGGTATCGGTTCCATATTAAACCTTACATATGTTTGTATACTTACGGTGAGTGGCAGGCAGTGACTTTGTAGAAATTCTTCTTAAGAAAAAAAACTTTGAAGGCTTTCTGGCATTAAGGTCACTAACGGAACGATGCTGCCCAGTAGCCAGTGGGCATCAGTAGGTTAGAGTTGGTCTGTCTAATCACACACTAAGCACGTGTTTTTTCTCCCCCTAATTGCAGGTGTCACGTCGTACGGGCACAATGAGCTCTATGTCAGGAGCAGATGATACAGTTTACATGGAATACCACTCTTCACGGAGTAAGGCATCTTCAAATAAACACATCCATCCACTATTTAAACGCTTCCGGAAGTGATGGTCCTTCATGTGTGCATTTTGTTAAAACTGTGGATCCATGTACCTGTTTCCATAACTAAAAATATGGAGTTGAAATTTCTGACAGGTCCTTTAAAAGACTTTTTTTATATGCATCTGTATAGCCACATATTCACTTAGCAGTATATGTGCTCTCGTGGGTGAATGCGAAAGGAAAAAAGGAACTAAATCTTACCACAGGAAAGATATTATCCAGTGACTGGATTGTGGGTGAATGTGAAAGGAAAAAAGGAACTAAATCTTAGCACAGGAAAGATATTATCCAGTGACTGGATCCTGGTTATACCTGTCTGGTTTTCAGGGTAATTAATAGAATTTATTTTTATCAGCTGAAGACCCTTTTTCAGAAGAGTTCTGGAAAGGTTTTGTAAATGAAGTTTGTACTGATGTTTGAAATATTATTTATCTGATTATTGTGTCTGCTCAACAAAATATTGTTTTTTAAAATGCTTGAATAAAAATCATTCATTGAGGTGAACAAATCCTGATAGGAGCACTTTACATAATATTTTTAAACTGGGAGCTAATTTATACTTATGACTTAACCTGTCTTAAAATTCTAACAAATTGTTTGGAAATATTTTGAAGTTCGAAGACAAGGAGAAAGAGGGACTCTGTCTCCAAAGTAAACTAAAGGAAAGCATTAGTAAATACAAATAAATTCTGTGCTCCATTTTCCTCATTTTTCTTGCTACTGTTGAGAAGTTGCTGAAATAAAAGCTGTTTCCCTTGTCATTTATATTCTATTTATTAACCATGCAATAAAACCATCGTAAGTGCTAAACAGTGCAATGTCACTACAGAAGTTGTTACTGAATCAAAAAGCGTTTTGACTTGTCATGAAGTGAGTTGGAAGCAGAGGTGTGAAGGAAAGATTCCCGAGTTTGGGGTTTTTTTGTTAGTGAAGACTGCAGTATATTTCTAGAAAATTTGAGGAGAGGTGGTGGTGGTTTGTGGCAGAAGAATGCTTTTTAAACAACATCTGCTTAATATTGTAATGGTTATGCTACTATTATGAGGTGAGTTTTTTTGCTGAGAGTTTGTAGAGCTGTAGAAACAACCTGTGAAATAACATTCATCTTGATCTGTTGGTTCAAAATAGGTTAGTATAAATCTTTACCATACTGGAAGGAGCATGTATGGGAGAGCTATTATGGTTATACAAGAAGCATGCTTCAGAGAAATACTGATTCTGTTTCTTACTAGCATAAATTCACAATTTGAAAATATAGAAATACTGGAAGCATAATTCAGATCACATGGTGCTTGTTTTCAGTCTCTGTGTCAGAGTCAGGTAATTTTGAAAATGGAACTGATCTGGTTCAGTTTAAACTTTGTTGGGTCTCTGAGCCCTACCCCATGATGCATCGTTCTTTCTCTTGTTCTGAGTCTTATGCCTCAGAAACTGGGATCAGCCATGACAGTGCTTGAGTGGCTTACATGGAAGAGATTAATGTGCAGTATTCTGGTGCTGATTTCCTCTCCCCAGTTTTAAAGCATTATTTACGTCTAATAGTAGTTTGGACCAGTTTTTGTGGCAACAGTTAGTGGAAAAATGATCATTTAGTATAATGGGAGGGGTCTGTGACAGTGGGATAGCTGAGCAAGTCAGCCAGCATCGCTCTGCATAGTTCTCTCTAACACGCTTTATGAATTGCTTTGGAACTATTCTCCACTCTTCATAAACTTGAAAAAAAAAACCCCTACTAAATGTGGGAATGGCTTAATAGTAATACTAATTGTATTGTGGCACTAGTAGTGGCTGGATTTAGGACAGTGCTCTAGTTCTTACGCAGTAAAATCCTGTCTATGATGACTAATGATCTTACTTTTGTAAGTAATGGATTGTGTGGGATGCAGTACTTTCAGCGTCGAGTGAAGCATAATAATTTTACGAGGTAAGAATGACTCCATGCTTCAGTAATAGTGTGTTGGTAATTAAACTTTATATTTAATTACTTTGATATGCTTACTGCAGTAATTACTGCCTGCTATTACTCCAGACTGTAGCTGCACGTGGCAAACTGGTATGCATTTACTCACTACAAAACAGTTGCTGCTGCGCATGGTAGCATCTGTATTGGAATATGGTCAGTCAGTTCTGCTTTTCAGACAGGGGTCAGTCGCTGAGAAACACTGCTGGTTCCTGGGACTTTTATTGTACTGGCCGCTCACTACTCCCGCAGTCCGGCAGTGCTCAAAGGTGCGACTCCACCCGACAGTCGCAATAGACTGCTCCAGAATTAGTCTGTAATCTCAGCTCTCTAGGAAACTAAATTGTCTTGTTCAGCCACAAAACTCAGCACTGTATTCTGTCAGGTGAGTGTCTTTATTTGAAGCAGTACTGTAGACTGCAGTCGTAATGCTTCACCATGACCAGAGAGTGCGTGGTGGGCTCTCGCTGCCCTCCAGCCTGAATCCAAAGAATCTGGGCCCCAGCTCTCTCAGAGTGCAGTCAGGTCCTCGCATCCTTTATCACATGCTCTTGTTGGCCAGTGCTTGTCTTGCACAAATGGACAGCGAGATCCCTTGCTAAGTAGGCTGTGGAAACAACATGGCTGAGAGCTCCATGATTGCCTTGAAAATGGTGCACATGAAGAAAATCTTGCGTTCTGCCATGGCACTGCTATATACATACCTTTCTGAGATGCTGCCTTTTCCCTACGGGAGTATGCTTGCACAGCACCGCCTGTTTCCTAGCAGCAGCAAGGTGCAATACAGTTCATGGATCCAGATGACTTGCAAATGAGCAGTGATAACTAGATGATTACCCAGAAAAGATTTGTTTGCTGTAGGACTCTCGCTAAACTGGGGGCAAAATAACACAAATTGGTGTGGCAAAACTGTTCAGATCATGAGCAATGGCAGAGGCAGGTGAACTTTGGGGTAAGTACATCACTTCTTGGAAGTCTGTGGACAGAGGAGGTGCAATTTTCTTGGATGTAATTCAGGTTTCCTTGCTGAAATAAAAGCTTTTACTCTGCTCCCTGGCCACCTCCTAAGTTAGGCTGAATTCCATACCGAGGAAACTTAATCTTCTTGAGGAATTGTCATTTTTAATAGTTCTTTTCTTTGTGTTTCTGATAGGCTACAATACTGAAACTTGTGTTTACATGCTCTTCATCCTCGTGGCAAACCAGCAAGTGTCTGTGAAGGAATTAATGCTTGAAGGATAGTTGTTATTCATTAAGATGGCCTTTTAGACTAAAAGGGCACAGTGACATTGGGGTGGCAATTTCAGCAGCATTACAGCTCAGCAAAGCACTAACCTACACTCAGTTTCTATTTCTGTGGTTCCTTATGCCCTCCCAATGGTCATAATTTTTAGTAGTGCCTTTCTTTTTTCTAGTGTATTTAAAAACTTGGGACTGCAAGGCAGGTAGTTCTCAGGATAATTTAATGTGGTACACAATAAGAAGCATAAGATAAGGATCTAAACGTGCTACAGAAAGTCTGCAACTGGAGCTGAATTCTTTATTTGTGGCAGTCGATTCATGGGGGTTTTGTTAAGCCCTAAACAGTAAATCATGCAGAGTGCTGTCAACACCTGGGATTGGCTAGCTTGCTCTGATTAAATATCTTCTTTTTGTATGATCTTCGATTAAGATTTTAATTGTTGTCATATGGTAGATGAAACCAAAGATTGAGAGAAGCCGTTTTTATTTTTCTTTTAAACTAAAGCTGCTTCGATAGTAAATTACCTGTAAGCTCTGTTCTCACCTCATTGCCTGTTAAGTTCAAAGTTGTCCCCTTTTCAGGGAAAAAGCAGGGGAATTTAGAAAGCGTTTAAAATTCCAAAGAAGTAACTTCACAACTTGAAAATATCTTGTGGAAGATGGGTTTGAGGACAGAAAAGGCAAAAATCGTGACTAACTGTATGGCTTTTTCAGTAAAGAGATGTTTCAAACCACACTGAAAATTTTTGCTTACACTTCTGACATTTCAATACTGTTTTTCAGCTTTTCTTCCTTGCAAATGTTCCGAAGAGCCTGTCTGTACAGTCTTAGCTGAAGGTGTTACTTGGGCAAAGTTAAATGCCTCCGATCAAATCCCTTTTACTTCCATAAATGACACTTGTAGATGCATTAGCTATTTAAACAGTTATGTAAACAATACTTACAATATTTACAATATTTATTATACTGTATGTCATAAAATAATGTTCAAATGATTACAAGCCAGATATAACCAAGACTGTTAAAAAGTGAGAATAATTCTAAGCAAACAGAATTCCTGGTAAGATGGTAATGTAACCATTGACTCTGAATATCGATTAGGACACAAAGAAGGCTTCAACTGAATTTTGTCAGAATTCGTGCAAAGAGGAGGGCAAGTTTAAATTGGATTTAGAAATAATTAAGGAAAGGTAACAAAGTACAATTAATATGACCCAGTAGGGGGTCTAGACTGAGAGAACAGTGCGACTGTGGATTTGGAGACAAATTATCATCCAAAAATAATACGTAATCTAAATTATCAATAGCCAAGTTTAGCTTATACTGTGATCCCGTTGCATGCCAAAAGTTAACTAAAATTGAAGCACTTCTACTGTGAAGAGGCATGTGCTCCAACTTGTTTGAAATAACAAAAGTCCAAACTGACTAGTTACATAAAACAATTTTTCAAACTCAACCGACTGACAGGCTAGGACAAACGTCATTGTTTAAATTTAAAGAACCGCGAGCGTGTTTTTGAGTCGCTGTTAAGATGTCTGATAAATATACATGCTGGAAGATTGTAGAAGTTAGAGAAAATATTTATCTTCCAAGTCACATAAATGTGTTTTGGTTGGCTAGTGCTGATGGCATAACTTCTCCCTTCTTTACAGTTTGGTGGGTTTACGTGCATTGGAGGGAGGTTTTATATCATGGCTACTACACTCACCATTATTTCTGGGAATTCTGTGGCAATAATACTGGACTTCTATTACCTGAAACAAGTCTGAAGTCTGTGATCATATTTGGGAGGAAAATGGGACCAGGCAATGCCGATCCCTCCACCAGTTTAGGTTACACCCTAAACCTTTCACTAAGTAAAACCCTCTGCTGCTCCTTCAAATGTTTGTTTCTTTCCTTCACTATTCCTTTCTCTTTTTCAAGTCTACTCTAGGAAACTGTTATTTCAGCTTCATCTATCTCTTGTAGCGTAAATTTTGGGGTTTACTCCTGATGTTGATTATTTAACAT